CTGAGGTGAATCAGAGATAACATAGAACCCCAACTCCTCATTTTTTCTATCCCTACAGCTCATCGCGTTCACCACCATTAAATTGCCTCAGTCTACTTTTCTTCTTGGCAGGGAGGCAGGCTATGCAGCCATTCCCAAGATTATAAGTCCCACTCCATAACTCACCAAAAGAGAGGGCTGGAAGAATTGATAGTGATTCCTAGTCTTTCTTTTCTAAAACATGCCCAATCATATACTAAACCATGGGTTGGGGTACAGCACTCCTAGACTTAGATGCCTGACATAAGAGAACAATTCGCTATAGTTACACCACTATCACTGCACAAGAGATGTACATTTCCACAGACACTTGATATATCTTGACACTGTAATAAAATCATTTAATCTGTTTTTCCTCCCATTTTCTTTTTTAAAAATTGAAGATAATACAAAAATATCCATACGGCTGATATAAAAGAGATCAAACAATATCACCTGCAATTAAAAATTTTGTCCCTGCACTGCACTGCAGCCAACTCCAACCACGGGGTTAAAATACATTCTTTACAATATGTACCAAATAAAAGTTAAACTATAAATATTAATGAAGACTGGAGAGAGAGAGAGAGAGAGAGAGAGAGATGTGCTATTGCTCAGTGTTCCATGCATTCAATAAAATCAGCATACTTTAAAATGGGTTTGGTGACTTGCCCCCTTTTTCTTAATATTAGACACAACGAAATGTGATTGCTTCCCACACAAGGCTACTGGATGATGAAAATGTACATCATTAACCAAGTTAAATGGCACTAGGTTTGCAATTTTCAAGGCACAGATAAAAATGGTATGCTGGTATAATTCATGAACCATTATAAAATATATATTACCTTAATGTAATGCTCTGAAATGACTATCTTCATTTTCTATAGTTGGAAGAAAGCTCATTTTAAAAAAAAGAGAGAGAGAGAGAGAGAGAGAGTGGGTGGGAAGGGAATCCAGAGTCACCTAACAATGTTTTCAGGCATAAAACCCAGTAACTTTACCGTTTTTGTGTGTGAACATCATTGCTACATTATGCCGTTCTACAGAACACCCCGCTGTGCACAACAGCCATATGACCACGCACTGAAGAAGAAGGAAATAGAATTGTGGGAACCCACCCTGTATATTTCAGCATTTTAAGCTTTGCTTATTTAAATCTGATCTAGATCCTGATTCCTGCATTTGGATCCAGACCTTCAAGCCCATTGGGAGCCCCATGGACTTCTACAGGATTACACTTGAATGCACAGGACTGCCCATGCAGATCCTATGGCAATATTGGTGCTATAGTATTTAAAGATATATATATTTCCCATGAGACCGTTAGCCCCAAAGATATACAAACTGTGTGAAAATTGAGACTGTCCCAGCACTTGTGGTACAACAGTATGCAACTTTCCTGTCTAAACTAGAGTTTAATTAAATCTGGTTAATCCCTAAGAGGAGCAGAATTTGAACAGGAGTGTTGTGTGCCCCTCAATTGCATTAACACTTGCTTGGGGGCCAGCAACTCCCACAAATCAATAAACCCACCACCACCACCCCTCTTAGCAGCCACGGTGACCCACAGGAATATCAGCTATTCACCCTTCCCAGCTTTCAAAGAAGAGGTAGAGAGTGGTATGTGGATAGAAAAATGCTCTCAAGTGCCCTCTTCTTTCCCTAGCAAGCCCCAGCTGAGAAGGAGTAGTTGATATTCATGCTATAATGTCTGTGCTACTGTCATACAGTGTGGTATGTGAACAAAATAATAAAAGATGATCTGTCAAAAAGCTGCACACTTAAGTTGGTAATTATTTTGAATGACATAGTATCACTCTCTAAAATAAATTTAAATACCGGTGAAGTGTAAATACAACAGTATTACGTAGCTAAGATTAACAACTATAACACACATTCCAGTCAATACTTTTCATAACATTCAACTATTGTCTACAAAAAGTACAAAGCGTGGGGGTTTGGATTTTTTTTAGTTTTCTTTGTTTTTTTGGGATTTTTTAATTAAACATACACTGCGTTACAGTTTAATTTAAATAGATGATACCCCATATTATTCCATCATCTTACATGGGAAGTTATATTTATACATCTAGGCATTTAATTTCTTGAATTAGAGGACACAATGAAGGTAAAGATATTCCTATATTTTCAAGTTCTCTTTTGATTGGTAAGGGACAGTGGAGGCCCATCTGTTTTGCAGCAAAGAAAGCCCCAAACCATCTGTGTAGAACCACATGCCAGCTAAAACACAGAGATATGCACAGTTTTTTGTTATGAAAAATTTTGCAGTATTTTTTTCCTGTATTAGTGTGAATAAATTAGCAACAACTAAATTAAAGAAATCTTCAGAGAACATATTAACTTTCTAGTGCATGCTGGAAAATGTATCCATTTAGAAATCATGAAACATTCATTGGACAGATATGTCCATCTGACTATTTTCTGTTCTTAACACAGAGACTCCTTTATCTGTAAAATAAAGCATCTTTCTTTAGTTTGGTAATGGAAGTTAATTTATACCAAGTGAATTCTTTGAGGAACCCTATAGCTTTCAAACAGCACATAATTACAGCTACAGTTAGATATTGGCATAATAATAGCATTTAAATGTTGGGTCCTTATGTTTCCCTCCCATCTACAAAGCCAAGGGAGAGGGAAACTTACCCCAAAATCTCTGTAGCTTTGGCTGACCTGCAGGTCTGCTCCATCTTCCTCTTTAATAGACATGAAGAGAAGAATTGTGAAGGGGGACCAGACCCCAAAACCTGCATTGGATCAAGATAAAACAGAAATACACAGATTTCCTCTGCTTGTACGAGAACATACTCTCTGTCACCCTACAGTGGCAGCATTGTGGGCTTAGTTGTTGTACTGCCATTGACTACAGAACTGTCACCATTGTTCTAAGTCTCCCCTTAAGGGGTCTAGAGCACATGGCTTGATCATCACTAATTGTGTAAGAATTTCCACATTCACGAGCTTTGGAAGTGAGCATATGATGTGTACAGTAGTCCCTTCTAAATCTTCGCTAGTGGGACATGTTCTCCTGGAAAATGGAAAAGACAAGTTAGAAGTGGCTGCACAGAGGTTACTAATGCAATCTCCTTTTCCTTCTCTGTACTGCTACTCCTTTTCTTTAGGTTTGCTGCTGCTGTTGTCTCTTCCATACTGTATAGAAGAGTGGAATCGCACGGACCTTAGAGACCATTTGCAGCAAACCATGTCCAGTTAGCAGCAGAGATAGAACTCAGGACCTTCAGCAACAAAAGCATCAATCCCTACAACTTGACCTAAAGGAGTAATTCCATTAGCTATAAATATCAAGCTGCCATCTTTTCTGGGACCGGCCACTAGGAAGAGACATATCACACACACACGCACATGGACACACACAATCTAAGCCAGTATTATTATATAATAGCCTATATTTATAGTATATATTGTTATAGTGCTCTTTTGACACTGTAGGTAAAATGGTGTCATCTTGGTTGTTTTCTGCTTTTCTGAACCAATTATTTTGCAACTAAATTTATAGATATATACATTTACATAGGGATAGATTGAAAAATTTCATATAGTTTTCCTTATTAACCCCACTCCATCTTCTTTATCAATGTATTTTGGCAATGTCTAGGCTGAGAAAAAGGTACAAGGGTTAATGCTTTCCAGAATTATGGCAATCTTTGGGGATTTTGTAATGCTTTATTCATAATGCTTGCTCAATGCTTAGATACTAAGGTGCTTGATGTTTTGCAGCAAAGAACGCCCCAAACCTAAAGGTGCATAAATTAGAGCATGATCCTGAAAAGACTTGCTACCAAGCATAGTGCATTCCATCATGCATAATCCCACTGACTTCTGGTTTGTACCTATTTATGGACCTAATCCTGCAAACACTTGCTACCAGGCATTGATTTCAATGGGATTTCTCATGATAGAAAGCATTATGGGCCTTATTCACCATTGCCCTGCATCTTATGCAGTCATTTACACCAGTGAAAAGTGAGTGTAATATGAGTGCAAAATGTTACCATTCTAATTCAGTAGCATATCACCCCCTATTTCTACTGGTCAGAGTGACACGCTGCAGGGCAATAATAAATTAATTGGCCCTTATATCCAATAGCAAGTATTTGCAGAGTCGGGGTCACAGACAGATACAAAACATGATTGAGTGCTATGACTAATAATTCTTGCTACTTCACTGCACATAACTACAGAGTAGATTAAAAGACTAGAAAATGTAACTCTGAGTTTACAATTTTTCATGAGTATAAATAAACAAAATCAATTTCCAGTTGTTAGTCTAAACTGAATTGATTTCAGAAAAGTAATTTCCCGAATCTGAGAGCTACAGTTTTGTATAGTTGCTCCTCATCTGACACTTTGGTACACTAAGCAGGCTAACTTTGTGATCCTATAATTATTCTTACATTCATTATTTTTAAAATGTGTAGTTTTTTCTCTCTTGATAAATAAAGAATGACCTGTGCTGAACTACAACAGAGTTTTGAAGGGAGAAACTATTCACACATGAAGGAGCTTGGTAAAGCTGTGATTTTCTGTTCAACTTGAAATCAGTTTATGATTCAGTTTTAAGAAGGTTACTCAATCTGAACTAAAAGGGAAAGGGACATACATAAAATACATAGAAAGAGATCATTATTTTTCAGAATAATATGTTTACATGTATACAAAGTGGTGACACAATTTTATTTTGTTCCCATTATGAGACATGTAATCGGTATATTGCACATCATTTCAAGTTATCAAGCTGTAAACCATTAGTTTTTTAAGGAGAGACTAGTTTGCAGTATGGCAACCCATAGCACACTCCTAGAGGAAATAACGTGAAAATTTCACACAGGTAAGGAATTAATCTCTTTCATCATAATATTGTTTATTAAATAATCATAGAAATTTATATTTTTTTAAAAAAATCAACAATAAGTCCTGATTGCTACGTTGTAATAATCAGACCAGATTAAAAGTTTTTCTTTTTGTTTCTTTTCTTCTTCTTTTTTTTTTAAAAAGGACACTTTTCAGCTTTTCATTTCCATATGGGGTAAGATCTCCTATTCAAAGAGAATATAATTAGTTTCTTTTTTCAAAGAACTATACCCTTGTTTTTTCCCAGGTAATCAGAGTCATAGCTTCTTCAGTTTTTTATATTAATTTTTTTTTCATTCAAAACTTTATGAAACACTCTGAGACATTTACCTGTATAAGTCAAGACTATATCCACATATTATAATGTATGTGCTTGTTAAAGTCTTTCAGTCATTCTAGACTTAGAGAAATAGTGTCCAAATGTACCATATTTAGCTTCTATCTCAAATTCTCCCGAGCTGTCAATTTAGGTGTTAAAGAGACCATTTGTAAAGCTTGGCTGGGAATTGCCATTATTGACTGGAATGTGTGTTTATCATTACATTCAATGATGAAAGTGGAACATGTAGCATATGAATAAATGTCAGCAGATGTTTCTTTTAAATGGCCTGATTTCAACCTCCTGTTGTTTGTCTTGAATACAAATATTAAAAAAGGGAAAAAAGACAGAATTTTTATGACATAAGTGCAAGGGTAGTTCTACTAAAAAAAACAACAAAAATAATTATTAGAGTCAGAACAGAGTGAGAAAAGTAGAATTAATAAGAATTAATTTGGTAGCTGTTAGGCTACTGTTTGGTTTGGTTTGGAAAAAACTGCAGTTCAGTGTGGGCTAAACCTTCCCGACCTTACTCCGGAGAATTGAGTAAGGTCTGAAGAATTTGTTCCCATGAGAATATTTCTTTAAATGCTAGGATTATACAATTTTTAAAGTTTTATTATTATTTTATTTTTTAAAAAAACAAAACCCAAACACACAAAAATATCCCAAAGAAATTGGTAGCTTCCATAAGATAATAGATCCTACTTGGATTATTCTCTTTCATGGGATAGAATATTCTCTTTAAAAATTGTATTGACCTCGGAGGCCATTGAAGGATGCTCAATAGCTCAAACAGCAAATGCTCCCCACTGTCAATTAAAGCATGAATACGTAACTTCCCTGCAATGAATGGAGATCTTAACAGGGGTTTGCAAAGGCTTTTTTTCTCCTTCTTCTTTCTTCCCCATACTTTTCTTGTGAGCACAATGGAATAAGGTTAGCATAAGAAAAAGTACACAATTATCGGCTATCAAAGAGCCAGATTCTGCCATCCTAACTCACCTGGAAGACTTCCATTGAGCTCAGTGGGCCTACTCTGAGTAAAGTACTACTCAGTGTGAGCAAGGGAGGCAGAATCTGGCAAAAACAAGGATGCAGTTCTATAAATTCAGCAGTATTCCAACTAAGTCAATGTAGTGAACAGAGACAAAATTAAATCAGTCCTGTGTTTATTGGAACGTATTACGTTTTGTATGTTTCCAAATGACAACATGCTCTCGGCCTGATTTTCAGAGGTGTTGAGCATCCACAGCTCTGATGGACTTCATCAGGAGGTACAGTACTTCGTGCTTCTGAAAATCAGGCCATGTGTTCAGTAAACATGGTAACTTTCAGTGAGTATACTAAATATTTGGGTGTTATCAGATGTCTATTTATTAGAGATAAATTTTAGACAGGGTGGGACTCCTGTTGACTGCAGAAGGCTGTGGATCAGGCCCTAAAAGAAGAAAATATTTCATACCTTGGAAAATAACAAACTTATTCTGTTGTACATTTTTAATGTGGCTACTCCAAAATGTCGAATATGTTTTCAGAAATATGTTTTTCGTAATTACACGATAGGAAAATAGCCCCAATTTCCACTTTACATAAATATGCTTCATGTTACTAGAGGTCATGCAGCTTACTGGAAGTCATGCTTCCAACCAGAGATCAGCCATAAATGCAAAGGACTGGGTAAGGATTGTCATTTATACAGTGACTTAGGTGTTCATTGTGTGCCTAGTTCACCTTCTGCACTATATACTTATTAGTGCAAATGAGAGAAGAAAAAGACTCATAGGGCTTACTAGAGTGGTGGACCATACAGGTAGCTAGCTATAACTGTTTTAATCATGCCTGTGGTACACACCCTAAGGAGTTTATAATCAAGGGTTTGGATCTAAACAGCCCCAAACTTTAGGAGGCGTTTATGACTAGGGTTTCAGTTGGGACAGTAATAGAGATTCTAGCCAGCTGCCAAGTTAGGGGCAGTGTAGAAATCAAACTACAGTTGTCCATTTCCTCCTTTTTTATTAGAAGTTTAATCATTTAAAAAATATGTAAGATTGTGCTTAGGCAAAAGAAGAGTGCAGTTCACAGGAGAAAGGCACTGACTGTGACACTAATCCGCTGGCCCTGTATCTTTCCGGAGAAAAGAAAAGTTGACTACTGTAGCCACATAAACAGGTAAGAGATTATTTTGGGCTCACTTTTGCAAGTGAATTGTCCCGTTTCTATCTTATTCTATTGGAATTCACTGGTTAAAGGCACAGGTGATATTTTTCACCCAAAACTTACTTTGGGAAAATTTATTTTTGTGGCTAAAGCCCTGGAGTGGGAGCCAGGAGAGCTCAGGCTTGATTCACCCCTGGAAACTGAATCCTCCTACCTGTGCCAGTGGAGTTGGCTGCATTCCAGGAGTATTCAGCTCATGGGAGGGCATGCAGTATTTGCAGCAATTCCCCTGTCCACAGGTTCTATTAAGGCAGGGCAGGTTTAATTTGCAGCCGGACCTCCATATGAAACTCACTAGTAGAGGCTGACTTGGTGATGCCATGGTCTCTCGTTGCCCAAATCTTAAAACGGAAGGTGTGACAGGCACTCAGAAGCCTTGGCGATAAATACCTGAATGGCTGGATAGACAGATATAAGTGAAAATAGTATTATGCATTATGAACATTACAAGAGTGAAGCCTCATTGCATCTATGTGGCAGGCAAGCGTGGTTATCCCCATTAGACAAAGAGGGTCTGGGGAGGCTGAGGCACAACACAGTGAAATGAGTTGCCCAAGTCCATGCAGTGAGTGAATGGCAGAGCCAGAAATGAAACTCAGTTCATTGTTTGCATGAAGTACCTTGAAGTCAATGGGACAACATATGGGCTTAAGGCTTTTCTGCATAGGGATAGAATTATCAATGTTTGGATGCCTAAATTAGAAAAGATATAACAGACAATAATCTGTGCCCTGGGGTGTCCTAAAATAAGGCAGGTCTAACAAAATTAGAAAATCATTAGAGGAGAGCATACGGATTTGGGTGCTCAGTGCAGGCATATGTAAATATTTCTCGCTCCAAAATTCAATATAGATTTTTTTCCAATCCCCTCCACCCTCACCCCTGGAGGCCCATAAATATTATTCAGCCTCGCCACTTGGAAAACTAAGAGCAGGCTATATTTTCCTCATCTACTTAGGTCTTAATACACTCCCTCTTGAATTGCTCTGTATCCTGTGAACAAGCTAAAAACCAAACTTCAACCTTTCAGCACTAGGCACATCTCACACATTCCTTCACTTCAGCATGTAACTTTTACCTCCTTCAACCAACCAACCAAAAACCAAACAATTCCCTTCCCACACACATACTCCCAGTTCTAGTGTGCAGTGTTGTAGCCGTGTTGGTCCCAGGATATTAGAAAGACAAGGTAAGTGAGGTAATATCTTTTAGTGGACCATCTTCTGTTGGTGAGAGAGACAAGCTTTCCAGCCACACAAGGCTCTTCTTCAGACATGAAGAAGAGTTCTGTGTAAACTCAAAAACTCACCAATAGAAGTTGGTGCAATAAAAGGTATTACCTCAGTTACCTTGGATCTCTAACACTGTTCTAGGTCAAGGCCATTTTTTCCCTTTCTTATGACATATTCCATTTCCTGGTTTGACACTCGACAAAAAACAAACATCCTGTCATACACATTTCCAAAAATTGTAGTATTTTGGGTTAATCTATATGATTCAGAGGAATTTGCTGTGTTCATTGTGTTTCTGTATATGTTGGATGTGTCAAGGAGTGTCTTGTGGAGTTGCAGAGTCTGTCAGTAGTTCGTTGATATGACTTGTGGCTTTTACAGTATATGAAATAAGATTGCGTTAACTGGACATTTTCTTGTGTTGCAGTGATTGCACAGGGTAGTTTTTGCACTTAAATGGTCTTAGCTGTAAGCCAACAAAGTTTTGGATGGTGGGCTGAATATTAATTAAACAGCTTGTTAATTGGCATGGCTCCAGGAAATTTCCTTCCTCTTTTACCCTGCCTTTGCCATTTAAAAGGGCACTATCAGTGGAATGTTACGTCCTATTAAATCTGTTTCTCTTTCCAGTTCTTCTTGAAAAACCACTGCTCGAGATAACTAAGCATCCTGTCTCTCAGCTTTCTTGTCTATTAAAAATGTAGACTCACCCCACTGTACATACTGTACATTGCAAAAGTAATTGCTACAGTGTTAAAACTCTGAGCAACTCCATCCATCATAACAGCTTACAATTTATTAGTTTTTCTTCCTCTTTTTCCTGCATCTCAGCCTTGCCTACAGATAATCTTGCATATAGACCAATTCCTTCTCCTCTGAATATGTAAATATTACTTTTTTTAATGTCAGCCCATCTGGTTCTCTATATGTGACATTTTATAATAAAATAATAACAATGTTTAATATTATTTTCCTTGCTCTTGGTTCCAGCCCTTAACTATGATAGGGTAGGGATATGTAACTGTGGAAATTCTAGTACTGGCAAAAAAGAATAAAAGCAGGAGGATTCTCCTTCCTCCGGCTCTTTCTTCACAAACAATGATGCTTCCTGTTGCAGCTGTTAGGTGAGTGATTCTCCCACTGAATCTTCTAGACTGTCATGAGTGTGGTGGAAGTTTCAGGGAGTAAGACTCTTCCTTTGGTCTACAGGCTAGGCAGCACTGCAGCATTAACTTTAACTTCCTGAACATGTCCTGAAAAATCCCAGTTTTTAGTACAAATGTAAAGAGCTTGTGTTATATGAAAACCATTGGTATTTGAGAAGCTGCATGAACAAGGGATCAGATTCCGGTGCACAGCAAGCAACTAAAATGGACAGTGGGCCTAAGGGACCAGAGAAAACAGTAACAGGGTCAGAACATTCATTCAGCCCCTCCACATTGGGCTCAGCTGCAGTGAAGCTGCTTCCATTATTCTTTGTGTACTCTGATATGTGCAGTTAAGTGCCTATCAAGGTATTCAGTATTACTGAACCAATCTGCCCATGTTCACAAGTGCAATAAATTTGTCTCCCACTGTAATAATAGTGCACCAATCATACTTTTAACTGAATGCATGAATATCTTGCACATAGGGCATCTCAAAGGGCCAAATTCTGATTTCCTTATTCTGTGTTTACTCTATCCTTATGCAGGCAAAGCTCCCACTAACTCCATTGAGAATTTTGCCCCAGTAAGGATTTAAGGTCTTACCCTTAAATCATTTGATGAATAGACTGTGCTTTTTCTTCCCCTTACTGTTCTTAAGCTTTTCAGAGATTTCCTCTCTTGTGGTAGAGTTTTCTTGTCTCTCTTGCAAGATATCTGACACATTGCAAGATCCTGTTGCACACTTAAACATCTATTCTTCTTTTAACATGCATGCATAGCTCCGCTTGATGCTAAGGGGAGTTATGCATGCATACTGAAGAGAGAATAGACACCTTAATCTTGCTTGGCAGGATTTCCCTTTTAAGCTTTGGTCCCAAGCAGGCATTTGTAGTGTTTGGTGACCTTTTGCACCAGGCCAATCAGTCCATTGTGGACTAAAGTAAAACTTCCTTTTCTTGGCATGCAGCAAGGCAGAGTTTGATCCTCAAGTCTTTGAAGTGTAGCATCTGAAGCCTATAACATAAAAGCTAGTTGAGCAGCAGTAACATCAGCAGCAGAGCTTGGTACAACAGTTTTGTTCAATGCAGCAGTTTCAGCTACGTCAAAAAGTTCTGTACTTTTGGAAATTCTACATGAGGAAAAGGTTAATGGATCAGTCTGCATATAAATTCTAAGCAGGGAAATGTATTTTCGTTTTGCACGATACACTTAATGGGCCTGCTTCTCCATAAGCTGAAGTCAGTTGCAAAACACCAATGACTTCAATAGGAGCAGGAGAAGGCCCATTGTCCCTCTTATGTCAATATCTGATTTCTGTATCCAACTTTCAGGGGAGCAAACAGTGTGGAAAAAACACAACCTGACTGCAAAGACAATTTTTCTTAATGAATTTAACTCCTCAGGAATACTTATTGGGGAGGGATTTGTGTGCTTAAATGCTATTAATGTTAATGGAATTTGCCCCTGCACTAGTTGGAGAATAGACCTCTTAATGCTTTGAGTGGAAAAAAGGAATCCTGAATATCTATTCTCTTTGCACTACACTAACGTCCTGCAAACTAGTTATAGTTTCTCAAATTTACCAAATAAATTCTTTGCAGTGTCTTCTTTTAAAACAGATGATGGCTCATTGCCACCTTTAAAAATAAAAGTACTCCATTATCCACAGGGAGGGTCAAGCATGCTGAAAAAATGTAAGGCTAAATAAAGAGTTTTCTGCCCAGTTCAATGCACATTTAGTTTGTGTACAAAATCTTTCAACATCTATTTTGTTAAGGATATGTGATCTGGTCTAAACGGTGGACAGCTTGGAATGTAAGAAGGAGGAGGAACCAGCCGTGTTTTTTGTTTTATTCTAATTTATAGCATTTTAGTGTTAAATACTCAACATTGTATGGAAAGTGACAACAATAATCTGATCTAGTTTTAATGACAGAGTATATTTTTAATTATCTTGGGACTTCTCACAACTCACCCCAAAATATCATCAATAAAATAAGCCTCAAATCTGAATTTACAGTCAACCACTTCAAAACACCCCTCTGATGTAGGAAAGTATTATTATCCCTAACCTACTGTTTTAGAAAGCTGAGTCAGAAAGTGGTTAGTGATTTACCTAAGGAGATGTGGAAAGTTAGTTGGTGAGAGAAGCACAGAGTCCAGAATACGCATTTCCCAGTCTAGTGCTCTGATCAGTAGGGAACACATGCAGACTCTCACTGCTCAGTCTCAGAGGGACACCTGGCAGTAGAACCAGTGTGATTGTGTCTGTGAGGGGGAGGCTAGTTATGGGGGTGGGGGAGCCAGCATGGCATGGAGCCCTGGTCTGTGGAGGCTCATAGCATGCCACAGTGTATAGGGGTGGTCTCAGAGGATCCACCACTGCCTGGAACCTCACATTCTCTGCCTGTGTTGAGGAAAATCCAGCACCCATTAGACTGTAGTAACCACTTTGAAGTGGCTCTGCAGCTTCTCGGTGGACTTTCTAGAAGGCTGCCTCCCTATTTCTCCTCTGGCATTTGCCCTCCCCACGCCTCCTACGTCTGAATAATCTCACAAGCAACCTGATCCATGGATTTGGCCACGGACAAATGGTGACTGAGTAATTGTCTGAAAATACCAGTACAGTTTGTTTCTCTTATATTAAAGTTTAGGAATCTGTGGGAAAAAATTTACAGAAGTACCAAACTCTTGTCTACTCTATACTAGAGTGGAAAATAGTCTATGGACTTTAATAATGACAATAACATGATCTCAGACACTAGACAGTCTATTCTCTGTCTCCCTTTTGTATGCATGCATGACTCCACTAGACATACAAATAGAACTTGCTTGCATAAATTGGGTAAGTGCACATACGTACTTCAAGTGCACATCCACTCTTTGCAATGTGCACTTTACCTGATTCCCATTTGCACATGCAGATTCTTTTGTGGGCTGAATCAATGCACTAGCATTCTTAAGCTCACACCCTTTGAGCCTTACTTTAAAATGTAAATTCATGCATGATTTCTTGAGTTAGAAAGGAGCAGGTCCACAAAGGCTCCCTGAACATCAGTGATGCTAACCTTGCATGGTGGAGAGAAGAAAAGCGGATCTGCCCCTCCATGTATCCAATACAAATGCCATCCATGCAGCAAGAGTAAAGAAATGTTACAGGATCAGGCCTGGAGTAGAGCAACTCTACTGCCACTCAGTGGCTTTGGGGGAGATGATTCCTTTCCCCATCCCAAACCAAACTTTGGCTTGGTTTTGGAGATAGGATTTAACCCATTATCTTTATTGTGACTTTCTTTTGTCAACTTTCAATCTAACTGTACAGAGGAAGAACTGAACAAAATAAACTAATTAGCATTAGTGGACACATATCTTCCCCAGGGACTAGGAAGTACATTTTCCAAGACTTATATAGAGCTTTACTCATAAGAATCCTATTGACTTTAATAGGAATTGCTAAGTTAATACAAGCAAAGCTCTCAAAACACAGAGTTAGAATTTCTACAGCTCTCTACTATACTGTTTCCACCAGGCCATCTCCCATGCAGCTGCTATACGTTTTCCCTCTTTCTTATTTCTGTTTCATGCTCATTTACCTTACCCCTTTCTCTTAGCTCCTCAGTTCTCATAATTCCTGGCCTTCCTACTTCTGGGCATCTCTCTCTTCTCCCCACCTCCCATCTCTTCTCTCAGGGTGTCCTTCTAGGCTTCTATTATTTATTGTTTGTGCCCATGCTCAGCACTGCCCAGTCACACCCTCTTCCTGGTGCCATTGAAAATAGACTGTGTTTCTATCCCTTTGCTCACCAGAACTGAGGATAAGGAGTTTGCTATCATTTTCCTACCATCTTTCAACAGACAGCACAGATAATGGAGCAGGCCTTCAAAACATTGGATTCCTTTTTTCACATTTTCAGAGCCTTGTGTTTTGTGTTGTGGTTTGGCATTTCCCTAAATAACTTCCCTTGCTTCTTGTTAATTTTGTTATTAATTTTCAACACAGACATGTTTACATATCATATAATCACTGAGCGCTAGATTGCGTCATCCTCCCTCACATTAGTCAGCACTTATACTTGTGGGCCTATTGACTTCAGTTGAACTACTCATGTATGTATGTGCTCACCAACATGAACAAGGGTTGTACAATCTGGCTTGCAGATAAACTCTACAATATTTGCATTAGATTTCAAATACTCATCCATGTTTCTTGCTCCCAGTTAACACCATAAATTCACAGTAAATTGAGGCTAGCTAGGATGTAAATCCAACATGAAATGAATTTTCATTTGTAAGGTGAGATCACATCCGAGGTTGTAACGTTTTGTGCTATATTGAATCATACCACATGTGATACCATGTAGCATAAAAGGATTTGTGCTCTGTGACATAACATTAATCATGAAAGTGTAAAATCTGAAACAGAGCAGACCGAAGATCGGTGATTGAGAAATGGTTCACTCCCAAGGAATCTTCAAATTAAGCACTAAGCCTGCAAAGTTCTTGGGCCAAATTCATCTCTGCTATAACTCTATTTAAGGCAATAGCCTTATGCGAGGGATGATTTTGACCCATTATTTCTACAAATTATTATGGAAAGTGTGCCATATTACACCAGATTCATAGAATAATAATTCTCAGTCTTTCTGACAGTGGGATTTTGTGCGGTGAGGAAATCCATACACACTTTCCCCCTAATTTCAAATATAATTATAACCTTTTTCATACGTACCATAAACTAATATTTTCCTATAACTTTTCATGTTTATAGTTTCAAGAGAGATGTTTTTCATACAATAACACATTTTGAAATAATAATGAGAGCCTCAGATCATTCCCCCCCCCCCATTACAAGATAGCACTTCCAATGCTATGCAAGCACAGTTGGCTATCCAAGGACCCCGGTGCCAAGTTGTGGAGGATATTCTTGTAGCAGTGACAAATAGCTTGCTCATGAATTGTGCAGCGTGTTGCTCTGGCAGCAGTGAAGTTGTCTGTGTCTGTCACTTGGTGAGGCTACAGAAAGTCTATATGGTTTGGTTTTTCTCCTTTTGAGAACTTTCTTTTAACTTACATGTGCTTTTGATGAATTGGTTCACTTGCTGACAACATTTTCAGCAAACCCCCACAAGCACTACATGCAGGTACCTATATGATGAGAAAAAAAAATATTCACAGTGCCATACTTGTTTTCCATACAAAGCTACATGCTGCCATTACAGCCTCCCACATACCATTTGACAACTCGCTTATGCAATCAAGCATCCTAATGAATGAGGAGTAAACGACACATCATTCCTACCACACAGTAAAGGCATGTATTTTAATGTACTTCTGCCTTACAATTTATGGCTTTCCTGTGTAGAATTCAGATGGACAGTTCAATTTGTAAACAGGAAAGCTTGGGAAGGTTCAGTGTTAGTGCTAACATTTTTCAAGTTGGACACATTTCATTTATTGATTTGAAAAAAAATTAAATACAACTCTTTAGTAAAATCTGCTAATTATAACAGAAATTATTTAAAAAGTAGCCAAATCTTTTCAGTAAACAAATTAGCTTCAAAGCATGTTTCAGGCAATCTCTACAGTCTCTGTTGTGTACCTATGAAGGTATATAATTTAATGCTTGCAGATAATTTATGGGTAAAATACAAACCAGTTGACTTTTTTGGATAAATAATAAATAGTCCTCCTATTTCACGTCTGAGTTTATAATTAAGTATAACTGCAAAATTTAAATAAAAAAACGAAACAACAGGTTCAGGAGCTACTGCATTTTAAAATTAGGAAACTGAAAAGGGTAACTATGAATATGCAAAGATGCAGGATGGATTTTAATTCTCTAGAATGCAACAGATTTACTATATACAAAATTCTGCTGCATTGACATCTGATTTAAGCCTCAAGACCATCTACCAGGAAGCTAAGGCTATTTTCACAAATGGCAATATACAATGGCAGAGTTTTAAAAGGGGACTAACAGGCTTTTAATCTCATGAAGGAAAAAAAGTGTTTATTTTTGCTCCTTCCATATATAAATGTATTTGCTGATTTGATAATCATATTGGCATATTGGGTTAAATAGACTTCAGTGTAGTCTTGCATTCTTTAAAAATATAAGGCAGTGTACTGGTTTTGCATTCACAGAAACATTTGAAACGTTATTATCCAACGTTATAAAAAGATCCCACTGCTGTTAATTAGAAAAAATAATCACAAAACTCTAAGTATAAGAACTTGGAGAGTTGTTGAAAGGCATTTGCACATTGTAGATTATGGGTACAGAGAGTCAATTTTCAGCTTGAAGTGATGTTTGAATTAGTTTGTTTTCATTGTGGCCAGTGACAGTACTTAAGTCAGCCTTCTGGACTACATGGGTATTACTAAACTAAACTTATCAAATTTGCAACTATAGCTTTGCCAGAAACATTTTTTAAAAGCGCCGACAACAGAGATCTTCTAGCTTTCATCACTTAGGAGCACCGAGTGAGGCTATTGATCCTAAAATTGCTGGGATTTTCTAAGGAGACTGCTTGTTTGTTCTGCACTGTTGTCACTGAAGTGGTTAAAGCTTCGTTTGTTTGTTTTGGTTCTGAATGGCTCTTAATGGATTAAGCTTTAGAGCTTTCACCAACACTGTAACTGTTTATTAAAGTATCAAGAAATAAATTAACCACAGAGAATTTTAACAAACTATGTCAGACCATGCAGGCGCAATGATTGGCCCATGTGGATCCTTTTGCAGGATTTGGGGTGTTTGTTTTTGTGACTCAAACCATGCTGAATTACTATTGTAAGTCTGGGGAAAACAAAATTCTGTGACGTTAGAAACTAATTAAATAAGATTGGTTTCCTATACCCAGGTTTTATATAGGTGCATTAGATACCCATGTATGTTCACTATATAATGATGCCAAGACAGTTCATATTTAGAGAATATTACAAATAAACATTTATGCTTATTTTAAATATACTAAAACCCAAGTATTTTTATTAGCTGTCATTGCATTATTAATTCTGTTTATTACAGTAGTGCCAAGAGGCCAACCAAAAAAGTGGCCCCATTATGATAGGCCCAGTGTAAACACAATAGATAGTCACTGCCCTGAAGAGCTTACCATCTAAATAGACAAGACAGAGTAGGAGAAGGGGATGTAGCATGCAAGCAGAGTGAGGTTTGTAAACATCATTTTAGTGCCATGATTTTTTGCTTTATTTTTGTTTGTTTGTTTGCATGATAATGATGTGCATGTAGACTTGAATTAAAATAGAATCACATTGGTGGGATAGTTTTATATCTGTGTAATTCATCTCTGGATATTTCTTCAACATAAAATGCTGTTAACCATATTTAAGGAATACACCATACTTGTCTTATTTTGTCTTTTTTAAAAACAAGTTACATTAATATGTTTAGAAAGCAGTTTAAATATGATGCTCTATTTGTAAAATCAGATTTAAATATAGCTGCAATAACAAAAAGGATGTTTAGCTTGCTTAATGTACCACACAGTAACATATGTGAATCATGGCTGGTGGAGAGTAGAATTAGCTAAGGGGCTGATCACCAAGATCTAACAGGACTCTCCCCACTTCCAAAATTTTAACAGGTCTACATTTTCATTTGGATACCTTATATCATTTACATTTAAATGGTAGGAAAAAAATATCCAGTTGTGCTCCAAGACCAACCATTTTTCCAAGGATTTGACTACCCTGATGTGATGCAACACTTCAAACTGATGAACACAACTCTAGGAATGGGGCTTCAGCTGCAAAACTTTCAAGAACAATTACTTACTAAGTTCAGATTACTCTCTTATTTTGGGCAAGAAGGGATGCTGCATGCTGTATTGACCTACCCCACAAGATATTAGAATAGATGGATGTTCTAGTCATATAGAATGCCATCAGACCTCTTGATTAAAGGACTTTTACTAATGTTGGATCTAAACTGGAAAGAAAATGGAAGTCTTTACTGCGAAAAATAATTTAAAATTTATAGTACCATAGTGCACAGAGGGCCCAATCATAATTGCAGCCTGGTTGCAATAGGCAATGTCCAAATGAACAGGAAGAGAGTCCATGTTCAAGAGAAATTACAGCTTCAGGAGGACTTTCAAAAGTATTTTTTATGACAAGTAGAAGTAGAAAAAAATACATTGGATACTATTCATTTGTCGGGGGATCATTATAATTTTAGAATAGAATTCCAATGTGAACATCGTATATAATACTGACATCTAATGTAGAGTATTATATATATATAAACATATAAATTAGCCATTATTTTTGAAAATTCATGGAGGATTGGTGAGGTTTCAGAGACCTGGAGAAAGAATAGTATCTATCTTTAAAAGGAGAAACAAAGAGTATCCGGGGATTATAAACCAGTCAGCCTAACTTCAATACCTGGAAAGATATAGGAACAAATTATTAAACAATCCATTTGTAAACACCCAGAGGATAATAAGGTTAAAAGTGATAGCCAAAATGGATTTATCATGAACAAATCCTGCCTAACTAACCTAATTTCCTTCTTTGACAGGGTTATTGGCCTAGTGGTAGGGGGGAAGCAGTAGATGTGATATATATTTATTTTAGTAAGGTGTTTGACACAGTCCTGTATCACATTCTCATAAGCAAACTAAGGAAATGGGTCTAAGATGAAATTACTATAAGATGGACGCACAACTTGTTGAAAAAATGTACTCAAAGGGTAATCAACGACTCACATCAAACTGGGGGGTTGGGATATATCTACTAGGATCCCACGGGGGTCCATCTTGGGTCTGGTACTGTTCAATACTTTCATTAATGACTTGAATAATGGAGTGGAAGAGTATGGTTATAAAACTTGTGAATGACAAGTTGGGAGGGGTTGCAAACATTTTGGAAGACAGGATTAGAATTCAAAATGACATTGATAAATTGGAGAATTGGTCTGAAATCAACAAGATGCATTTCAATAGAGACAAGTGCACAGTACTTCTAGTACACATGATTGAAATATTGGTATAGAAGGGGACAGCTTGCTCAGGAAGGAGCGGCAGGGAAAAAAGGGAGGAGATGATTCCTTATACATTAAAAATGTATACACTTGGACTGAGATTGAGATGGAAATAGGAGACAGACTTCTTGAAAGTCTCTGGGTAAGGATAAAAAGGGTAAAAAAACAAGGGCAATGTCATGGTAGGGGTCTACTACAAACCACCTAACCAGGAAGAAGAGGTGGATGAGGCTTTTTTTAAAAAAGCTAATAAAATCATCCAAACCACGGGACTTGGTGGTGATGGGAGACTTCAATTACCCAGACATCTGTTGGGAAAGTAACACAGCAGGGCAGAGATTATCCAGTAAATTATTGGAATGTATTGGAGACAATTTTTTATTTCAGAAGATGGAGGCAGCTACCGGGGAGAGGCTGTTCTAGATTTGATTTTGACAAATAGGGAGGAACTGGTTGAGAATTTGAAAGTGGAAGGCAGCTTGGGTGAAAGTGATCATGAAATGACAGAGTTCATGATTCTAAAGGAATGATAGGAGGGAGAACAGCAAAATAAAGACAATGGATTTCAAGAAGGCAGACTTTAGCAAACACAGGGAGCTGATAGGTAAGATCCCATGGGAAGCAAGTCTAAGGTGAAAAACAATAGAAGACAGTTGGCAGTTTTTCAAAGAGACGTTATTAAGGGCACAAGAGCAAACTATCCCATTGTGTAGGAAAGATAGGAAGTATGGCAAGAGATCACCCTGGCTTACCACGAGATCTTCAGTGATCTAAAAATCAAAAAGAGTCCTACAAAAAGTGAAACTAGGTCAAATTACAAAGGATGAATATAAACAAATAACACAAGACTGTAGGGACAAAATTAGAAAGGCCAAAGCACAAAACGAGATTAAACTAGCTAGAGCCATAAAGGGTAACAAGAAAACATTCTACAAATTCATTAGAAGCAAGAGGAAGTCAATGACAGGGTAGGCCCATTACTCAAATGGGGGGGAAAGGGGTGGAATAACAACAGAAAATGTGAAAATGGCAGAGGTGCTTAATGACTTCTTTGTTTTGGTTTTCACCAAGAAAGTTGGTGGTGATTGGACATCTAACATAGGGAATGCCAGTGAAAATGAGGAAGGATCAGAACAGG